TCTGATTTCTTGTGCTGTTGCTTTGGGTATGGTGTAGTGATTGTCAGTAGGTGTACTAGTGGTTAGCGCATCCTCGTCCGTATCACTATTGTGGTTGCTGTTGTTAATATTATGTGGTGTAAATGTGTGGCACAGGTGGTTGGAAAATTCTTCAGCTTGCTCTTCGTTGCTCCTTGCCCATGTGTTGTCTGCTCTTCTGATTGCTGATACAATTTTTGTTGTCTTCTTTATTCTTTTTGTGGCTTTCCATAGGGAGTAGTTGTAGTTCTCGTGAGCAGATAGTGACTCGATGAACTTTGTGAACTCGTTGTTGTTGTGCTCTTTTATTTTGTTTTTTGTTTCTTTTGTGAGTTTGTTTAGGTGTTTTTTGTTTTCTTTTGTTCTGTGTTGTTGCCATTTTGCTTTCGCTTTTCTTTTTTCTCTAATTTTTTCGAGGATGTCTAGTGGAACTGTTTTTGTTTGTCTGTTGGTTGTTTCAGGTATAGTGGTTGCCCTTGCTGCTTCTTGGATAGTTTCTGTGAGTGTTGTTACTGCTTGTTCGATTTGTTCAGGTGTTTTCAATGGGATGTTGTAGTTGATTTTGCTCTCAATTATTTCTTTAAATGCTTGCCATTTGGTGGTTCTATTGCATAGTGTCTCTGAATTGATATAAAGTATTGGTTTGTTTCTGTATGCAATTATTATGGGTGTATGATCAGAGGTACGCTCGAGGCTGGATGCTATGTTCAGTTTATTTGCGTTTAGTCCCTTCGTAACTGCAAAATCTAGTAGGTCAGGTATTTTGCTCAGGTCTGTCGGCCAGTATGTCGGTCTTCCCGTGGATAATATATTGAGGTTATTGTTTCTACATATACTGCTGACTACTGTAAATGGTTGCTGCTAGTTTGTACAGTAATAGTGGTTGTTTGTATATGTACCTTACTAACTTGGCTGTGTAAGTGATGTTTAATGTCGTTTTTTATTACTGCTGCGGTCCCTCCGGGTGCTTTTCCTGAGGGATGCTTGGTATCATATATGGTGTAGTACGGTATTTTGTAGTGAAGTGTGTTTCAGATACGAATAGTATGTAGATATTCTTGTTGTACAGGAATGTTTTAGTTTCTAGGGCCCTTTGACGGAAGCTGTTAGAATTCCGGGCTGCTATTTTAAGCATGTCCATTTTTATTTCTTATTTTTTGCTCAGCATGTTTGTAATTAGTTGTAGCATGACTGTGATTTGTTCCGTTTGCTGTCTGAGGACTGCGTTTTGTTCACTTATCATTTTTGTAAGTATTTCAGTGTTTTTGACGGATTCTTTTAGTAGTTCTTTGATTTCTGCAGCGTCTTCTGTTTTGTTGCTTTGACTCTGATTGTTTATGAGCGTTATTTGTCAAATGTTTTGGATTACTTGCGCGTAACTTCGGTTTCCTTCGGGATCTATGTTTCTGTTCATAGCTTTTGGTTCATTTTGTGCTTTCAATGTTGCTTCATTATCCGTTTACTTTGTTGTGGTTGGTAGTTATTGATTGATCTATTGCGAAGTGGTGGAAACGGTTTACGTTGTAGTTGTTTCCTGATTTCACATCCTTTATAGCTGGCTCGGTGGTTTCCGTTATAATTATAATATCTAACTTTTTCTATTTTTTCTGAGTATGGGCAGTGTATTGTTTATTGTTCTTGTTTGATCGCCAATTTTTACTAATTCGTCACTTAATTTTTTTGTGTTAATTTTTGGATGTAATCCTGTTATGACTATTTTGTAGCTCCTCTCCGTTTTGAGTTGATACGTGTGGTATATAGCATTTTTTTCCTTTCATACTTTTATCGCTTTCCTATAATTTTCTGGGGAGTTTTTTGAGTTTTTATTTGTTCTAATTTTGTTTGTTTTGTTGTGCAATTATGCTTCCCAAATATATTGTTTAGTCGATCAATAAACGGGTCTATTATTTGCGACTCAACAAATATTGGTGGTGGTTTTGTAATGTGTGTTGGTTGAGTTGTGGTTTTGCTTCTTGGGTCATCGTCTATTTCTTCCGTTAGCGAGCTGAAGGAGTTTCTTAATGGTAATTCTTGCAGCCATCGCTGCTTTTCTCCATCTAGATTTTCTATTTCTTAGCTATATCTGTCGCAATATTTTGCTATTTCCTCTTTGACTGTTGGTATCTTGAGGTCGCGATGAATTAGTTCGTTGGTGGCATACCAGGGTGCATTTATAATGGATCTTAGCGTTTTAGATTGGAAGCGTTGAAGTATTTCAATCTTGGAATCACTTGCTGTTCCCCATAGTTGGATGCCGTAGGTCCAGACAGCTTTTATTACGGTCTTGTAGAGGTAATTTTATTCTTGTAATATCGTGATATAATGTGTGTTTACAAAGGAATGGAAGATAAGAAAAGACGATTGTTGTTCAACCTGAACTATTCACGCCAAACGTACAGAAAGCAGCACAACTAGATGATTAGAATACGACTCGACTCTCACAAAACGCAATCAACACTCTCTCGGTAACGCCACTCGCAAGCTCTGCTTCTCCGCTCGCACGCTGCTTCTCCGCTTGCACGCTGCTTCCCGACTCGCACGCTGCTTCTCGACTCGCACGCTGCTTCTCGATTCGCTCTGGCCGTTGTAGCATTTCATTGTCTTTTACCAGGCCCACCGCACACGTGTTCTGCAGACGCTCGTGGCCAGGGTCACGTAGGTCTTTTCTACGAAACTATGCACTTGAAAAGACAGATGACACATTGATGGAGCCGACGGCGCCTCGGCTCTCGCGACATTGTTCATGGTTCGCCCGATATCTCTTAGGCTTTTCGTCCACGATACTACATACCTTATAACG